CCAGTTTTTCCTCAATAGACATTAGAAAAGGGATTATTGATGAAATAATCCACCTCGTTTATGCTAATGTTGCTCGCCATCGTGTCAGTCTACACCAAGCCACGCCCACTTACACTCACACTCGAGGCACGTTCTTGCACGTCCATCCTCATTGGATGAATCCTGTGGCTGTGGGTGAGGGGGCGTGGCCAGACGTCTGTCAGTCAGGAACAGCAACAGAACGGGGCTGTCAGAATTTAGCCCTTTGGAACGACCCTGGGATTTTCACAAGGCGGTTTGACACCAGTTTTGATGTAAATTTAACAAAATGTGATGCATTATTTCTAAAATGTATTTTTAAGTTGCTATTTTTAAGTTGTTTATTTTAACATCTTTATTGTAAATGCCAAGAGGGAGTGCTTAGCCCTCTGAGCCCACTGATACCAGCCATCACTGGTTACATTTTATTGTTGGATGTAACTGGGACCCTGTGTACTAATTTTGTTCGAACGACAATAAAGAATCTCTGACTCTAACTTATTGCTCAACAACTGATTTTCTCCTGCCTCCTCCTCTTCCTTGTTCCAAAGACAATATATTGTTTTCTCATAACCTCTTTATGTCAGCAGTGTGCTCCCATAACAATGCACGTACCAACACTGACAATCACATTATACCTCTTGGCTCACCCTGGAACAACTCTCACTGACCATTTCAAGATGCAGCCATGCACCACAACAGGGCTATTCAACAAAACTGCTCAGGGGGCCACAGTCTCTGAAAGCCAGTATCTCATGGGCTGGACATCCAACAATTAAAGTCCATCCATCCATTATCGTTTACCCACTTTTTCCCCTAGAGGTAGAGGTAGAGATGACGAGAGCGGTGAGCAATGTCCAAGGATGCACTCGAGGACACTGTAAGAGGTCTGATAAGGATGGAATAATCAACCAGTTCCTCCGGTGAGATCTGTAAACATTCTTGAGGGATGTCGAGGAATGACCAGAGATAACGTCTATGGAAATCCAAGAGTCCTGAAATGATGACACAATGTTTATTCAGCTGGTTTCATCTGGCTGATCAGTTGGAAATTCCTCGACGGGACGGGGAGGGGGGGCAGAGTATCAGATTACATGGTCTCCAGGTGAATTCAGATAAGATGGCCTTCAAGGCCAGCTGAGGGAGCCAAATTCAGATAAACACAGTTGCTTTGGGGACAGGCAGAACTTAATGACATCTACCTTGAGTCTGTGTTGGCCCACTCGGGTTCCGAAATGTCCAAATGGCCACACAGATGGAATGTGACTGAGTAAAATCCTCGAGATCTGATCCATTCTGCCCAAAGCATTTGAGTCTGGGTACTCTAGGCATGAACCAAACCATCATAAAGGCAAGCAGCGTGATCGGGTCCAAATTTGCTGCCGACGACTTCCTTGTTTGTAGATAAATCAGCGACCAGCCAAATCCAAAAAGCAGGAACCAGTTATCATAAATCCAATTATAAATGTGTCTTTAAAATCCACAGATGGCAGCAGAGATAGACACATCATCAAGTCTTCCAAGTCGATGAGATATCCAGCTGCGTGTGTGCCAACAGGGCAAATCGCCTTGCCTAAAGCCTGTCTTCTCTTTGAAGCTATTTAAATAAACTTTATTTTTAAGCAATACAAAAACTACAAAAGCATAGTTTCCTCAACGGACCGGGGTGGCCGGTTTACATTTATATATGGTGGCAGCCATCTTGGGCAACTACATTTTTGAAAGTGACTTTTTTTCACCTAGATACAGCCACACACTGAAATGGAAGTCAGTTCCTCTCGTATTTTTCACGTTATCCAGCTCACAAGACAACCTCTACAGACGGAATTATGGAAGCTATTTCCAAGTCCCATTTTGCTCCACGATGGGGGACAAAAACAGGAAAACAGTATTGTGAATGCTGACTCATTGTTCACACAATAAAATACTACAACCTCACTACAGACATTTTGTGCATACTCAAAACTATCGTAGACCTATCATTGTCTGTAACGTATGTATAACGTGGAGCTTAAAGTGTTCCTAATGTGCTCATGCAAACAATGTAAAGAACTCAGTGAGAATGTCTTCCAGCACAAAGGCAACTTTAGTTTTATGTTTTATTAAAAATCAAAATATTTATAAAGTAAAAAAAAAAACAAGTTTGTGACTTTTTTACACGAGGAACTCAGCAATGAGACAAAACTGGTACAGGAGGATTAAAGAATTAAACAAGATTAAAATGAAATAAATTGAGTTCCTACCTGTGTTGTTGGCATCCATCAGAGCGTTGTTGATGTCATCACTAGTGGCGTTCGTGTCTCCATAAGTCTCTTGCCACTCATCCAGCTGCTTTTTAATGGGACGCAGTTGGTCAATGACACTGCTGACTGTGCTGTTTGCTGCACCTGTGACCTGCTTCACTTCATCAATATCCTGACTCACATCTGCTCAGGGCGATAGAACAAATATAAAACATCATCATCAAATACTTTTTTCTGCTTTTTTTAAACTCAAAGATCTGTAAAAGTTTACATAAAATTGAATCAGAGTCAGAGATTCTTTATTGTCATTCGCACCTCATGTGGTACATGTGGTGGAACGAAATTATGTACACAGGGTCCCAGTTACATCCAACAATAAAATGTATAATAAAAACAGTAATAACATCTAAGATATGAACTAAGAAAAACATCAACTAAATATACACTAAGCACTCATAACATAAAACATTGAACATCAGCACAAACATGAACATGAGTCTGTGAGCAGATGTGCACGCATGAACACATCAACATTGAAACAGATCAGCAGCAACATGAAACAGATCAGCAGCAACATAATGTGATTTTTCACAGTGATTCTCCTGGTTAGAGATTCATGAGTCTAACAGCCTCAGGGTAGAAGCTGTTCCTCAGTCTAGTGGTTCTACACTTAATGCTCCTCAACCTCCTTCCTGAGGGGAGTGGGGCAAAAAGTGTGTGTGCTGGGTGAGTGGGGTCCTTCATGATGCAGGTGGCCCTCTTCCTGCATCTGGAGGTGTAGATGTCTGTGATGGTGGGGAGACTGACTCCAACAGTCTTCTGTGCAGCCTTCACCACTCTCTGCAAAGCTTTTCTTTCTGCAGCTGTGCAGCCTCCATGCCACACGTTGATGCTGGAGCACAGGATGCTCTCCACTGCACACCTGTAGAAGGAGGTGAGGACTGAGCTTCCAGACCAGCTCGCCTCAGCCGCCTGAGGAAGTAGAGTCTCTGATGATCTTTCTTCATCAGGCTGGTGGTGTTGTTGCTCCAGCTGAGGTTGTTGTTCAGGTGCACACCCAAGTACTTGTAGCTGGAGACCACTTCCACCACAGATCCTCTTATGTTCGGGGGGGGAGTGAGTTTGTTCCTTCTGAAATCCACAATCATCTCCTTTGTCTTCTTCACATTGATGTGAAGGTTGTTCTTCCTGCACCAGCTCTCCAGGTGTTCCACCTCTTGCCTGTAGCTGGACTCATCATTGTTTGTGATGCATCCCACCACCGCTGTATCATCTGCAAACTTTACAATGTGACAGCCTGGATGGGTAGCTGCACAATCATACGTGAGCAGAGTAAACAGGAGGGGGCTCAACACACATCCCTGAATGATACTGTCTTTAAAAATCTCCAGTGTTAAGGTTTATACACTAAAACATTGATACACTGCAGTGTTCAATCACAGCGCAGTTTATGCTAACAAGGTGACAATTAATGCTGCCATCTTCGCAGGTGCTCTGTGAGCACCCTTAGTTTCTACCAGCATGACAGCAGACCAAAAATATCTGAGGAAAAGGCCTCATCTCAGCCAAGGAACACAGTCTTTTGTCATTGTTATAATTACCTGAACCCACGTTATGGCACATTAGCTCCTAAATCACTTAAAACCTGACCTTTTCAGCTTTTACCTGTCTTGCCTATTGTGTACACCACTGTAAAACTGTCCATACTTGAAAAGTCTTCAGCTGATCCAAAATGCTCCTGCCAGAGTCTTAACTGGAGTTACTGGGAGAGATCATATCTCTCCAGTTTTAGCTTCTCTCCATTGGCTCCCTGTCAAATCCAGAATAGAATTCAAAATCTTACTTCTAACCTACAAAGCTCTCAACAACCTAGCTCCATCTTATATTACAGATCTTATTGTTCCATATTTTCCTAACAGAGCACTTCACTCTCAGACTGCAGGTTTACTCGTGGTTCCTAGAGTTTACAAAAACAGAATGGGAGGAAGATCTTTCAGTTCTCAGGCTCCTCTCTGGTGGAACCAACTTCCAATCTCTGTCCGTGAGGCTGACACATTGTCCAGTTTTAAAACTAGGATTAAGACTTTCCTTTTTGATAAATCCTATAGTTAGAGTCGGCTTGGGTTTCCTGAGCTGTCCCTTAGTTCTGCTGCTATAGGCTTAGACTGCTGGAGGACAAACTGACCACACTTTTCACTCTGCTACTGTCTTTACTTACTCTGCTAAACTTTTTTTGTATTTGTAATTATTTTTTCTATCCTTAACATGTGTTTTTTTGTCTTTCAGGTACACCTGGACCTATTTCTGGACCTGGACCTATATCTGGACCTACCATTCTGTGTTCATCTGTCTCTCCTTCCTGTCCGCTCAAACCAGTCGGTCAAAGCAGATGGCCGCTTGTCAAGTCAAGTCACATCTATTTATATAGCACATTTAAAACGTTGGTTACGTACTGTAACCCCAGATTCTATGAGTATAAGCGTAGCCCTTTAAGGCTGTCGCTGATGGGTTTATCCCGTTATGCAGAGCATAAGCACTGAAAAAATTTAGTCCACGCCCACCTGCTGTGTGGGCCCCACCCGGTCCGTATAAATTACGTTAAGAGCGGGAAATCGGCTCCCAAAATAGCTTTTTCTTCAGCCATTTAGGAGCCAGTGAGGCCCGACGCTTAAAGGGCTACGCCTATATTCATAGAATCTGGGGTTACAGTACGTAACCAACGTTCTATGTCATATAGGCTTCGCCCTTTAAGGCTGTCGCTGATGGGTTAAGGGCGAAGCGGATGTGGTCCTCGCCTCACTGGGTCCATTCGAACACAGTAAGAAGCGGAAGCTTGCCCAAAAAACGTCTTGTCACTCAGCTCCCCGTGTGCATAACTACGCATCGCGTAATTATGTGCCATGCACAGACGCATGTTGTGTAGCTATGCGTTCTGACAAAGCATGAATGCCCCGGAAAACTTTCAACGGGAAGAAGAAGTTGAAAAGAGGGGGGGGGGGGGGGCATGAACCAACTGGTTCATGGCTGAACAGTATAAACAGATTAATGTCCATGAATTGATTATTGATCAAATGAACTGATTGGTAACAATAATCATGAACTGATTAGTGACAATAGAACCAAAATCACAGACACGACTTGTGACTGATAACAACATCTCACACTGTAATGTATGCAGACAGATGTGAGCTTAAACAGAGTTCCATGAGAACAATAATATTCATTCTGTTAGAGCACTAAGGACAGAATGTGTCATGGAACGAGCCGTTACATCACGTAGGTAAAAGCGAATAAATGAGCAGGGTGTTGACCATGCAGCCGCAGTGCAAATGTCCTGCATTGACATACCATTATGCAGAGCAGTCCAAGATGCGATACCCCTGGTCGAGTGTGCTTAGAGGTTGACAGGAGGC